TATATATATATATACATGTACCAGTATCGAACTGTTCAATACAGTGCTTTAGACACTTGTATCGAACAATACAGATTTATAAAATCTATTTTATCAACATGTCTTCTGAAGATGCTCTGTGTTGAAGGATCAGTGGATCTGTGTTCGACTACTCCACCTAGGCTGCATTGTCGAGCACAGATCCACCTAGAAACTTGCTGTTTCAGCAACATTTAATTTAAAAACTGTAGTTCCGAGGTTAAACAAATGTTCATAAATAATTTCAACAAATTTCAAATTATGAAGAACCTTGGAAATTTCTTTTTTGTATCGAAAAAATATCGAACCGTGAGACTAAAATATCAAACCGAACCAAATTGTGAATCTTCTGTATCGTTGCACCMCTTAWATATAGAATGCTTGTAGCTCGCCCTACCCTTCCACTTAGGTGATTCAACTTTACGTCAAACTTGGATCCTCTACAAGAGGCCCTGGACCTTGAGGGTTCTGTTCAGTATCTTAGTTGTTTCTAGGGTTGCTCTCTTGTTAACAGAGATCTCTGAGATTGTTCCTGGGATTTGTTGGCACCACTCTTTAAGCCYTTGATATTTCTGATGCTTCTCCTGCTCCTTCTTCCTGATGGTCCAGTCACTKAGGATCACTACATCTATCTCCACTGCCGTCTTCTCTTGCTCGTCGACCACCAGCCTTCACCTTTTTGTCGGTCTGAATCTGGAAGTCCCACAGTAACTTTGCTCCTCCATTTTCCACCACCCTTGCTTGGCATCTTCCACTTTGACTGCTGAGGGCTCGTGTTCGGCTGAAAGCTCTAAAAATATCATGTATCGGCTCCTGAAATGCTGTTTCTTTGTGGACACAACACTGAAATTATAAAGCAGCTTTGTGTATTCTCAAAACACCCTTGCAGATGCAAGGCCTTAAAAATTTTGAATTAGCCTCTCAAATTGAATAATCTAAAAACCCATCAAGGAGATAAAAAAAACAGACATTTTGAAATATCAAAGCACAATCAAGTTCACCCTGGAAACACAACAGTAATGTTAACAGTGTTATGATGACAAGCTCAGTGTGTATTTTCACTGTTCTTACCTATCATGGGTGATTCRATAAAACTCCAGATGTTGCTCTGTGGTACGTAAGACTGAAGGACGCCCGCTGAGCGCCCGGCTTCGTTCACGCCCCCGAAAACGTAGATCTTCCCTCCGCACACGGTGGCAGCCGCCGAATGAACCGGTTTAGGAAGAGGAGAAACCGTCTCCCACGTGTTGGTGATCGTGTCGTACCTGTTGAGGATTAAAAAAAAGGTTATTTTACTAACTTTAATTTTAACTTTTGATAATTTGGAATGAAACCAAAGAGGAAAAATCAAAGTTCGGGCAACCATCCTTTCATTAAATAAAGCCTCGATTAGAAAACCAACACAAACAGACCAAGAGTTTACAGAAACAGTCTGATTTGGAAGTTCCCACTGCTCTGAATTCAGTGTGAAACCATGAGATTTGGCTGCAGAGCTGACAGATATAATTAGCAGAATGCCTCTACCACCAGGGAAGATGAAAAAGCCCAACTATTACATACAATGACAGCAATTAAAGCAATTACACAAAACAACATATGTTGGGAGCTACAAGCCATTAGTCTCTAGAGTTGGGCTGTGTGTCAGTGCTGAGTTTTGGACCTTTCTCAAYAAGCACTCTTTGGCAGCGACTTCAAGCTGAAAACTCAAACGGTCCCGAACAGACGTGGTGAGATAAAAGGGCCTGACCCAAAGAGCTGAAGGAACATAAGACACTGGTTCACTGGACCGGACCCCCAGCAAGAGTCAGTGGGGTTTTATTGGAGATTTCCTCCATTTGCATCCATGCTTTGTGTGTGGTGTTTGTGTGTTCAGACGCGAGTGTGTRGAGCTATTGACTTGTGGTTACATTAGCGCAGAGTGTTAGCGATGTAATCCCGCGTCCACGGGCCACTGATCAAAGCAGCCGCACCGACAGCTCTCCAGCTGGAGCAGGCCTCATTAAGGAGCTGCAAAACAGATCCAGGATCTGTGATTAAAACACACAACCCTTCAGACTAAAGCAAACCTTCCTAATCAAGGTTGTGTCTTTGTTGTAATGGAAAGGGGAAAAAAAAGAACACCTTTGTGTGAAAATCCGTCACCGGGATCCTGCAGGTAACACACCATACACTTAAAACACTTCAGGGATGCTCAGGAAAAAGCAGAGTCTCACCTAAAAAGCAGCTTTTTGGGGGATTTTTAATGGGATTTTTCCACTGGGATCGCCAACCTTCATTAGGCCACAGGTGTCTTTTATTTTTCTTTTATGCGCTCGTGTAACAGTATTTACTGCTACAGCTCCCCGTGGCATTTGATGTCAGGCTGAATTTAAATGACACCGGGGAGCACTACCTGCATCAACCTTCCAGTGAGAAGGCTTTTAGATAAAGTGCAAGAGGAGATGGGCAAATTACCCTTTGGGAATGGWCTCCTCGGGGGTCCGATAACGTCCTCAGCAGCTGCCGCAGAGAAGGGGACGGGCTTAAATCAACTGTCTGTCTGGGAGGGTAGTGACAAAAGAAGCCACTCTAGCTGAGGTGGACTCGAAACACTCAGAAGTGCCAATTAGTACTGTAAAACCACAAACACACACACACACTGACTGAGTAACTGATGAGATAGAGTAACAAACATGTGTCTCGGTCTCTGGCAGATGTAATTACCACTCAGACCACATCGGGAGAGCTTCGTAAATTTAAGGGTCAGACGCCGCTGATTGATGCTGATTAAAGGACAGACAAGAGTCCAACATGACGGCTGCAAACAGCTGGTCACGATGAGGAAAAATTAACTCGATTCGGCRCCGGATTCTTCACGTGGCTCGGATATATTGGTTCATAAACACAAAGGGAGCAACTGCTAGTAAACAAATTCCCTCCTGGGGGGTCGGTGAAGCATAAAAAAACAAACCATTAGAAAGATTCAAACTGGGATATATTTACCACTGAAAGACTACCCCCCTCAGTTATAGACCAGTTTATGTAAATATGTTTTTCTCAACAGTTGATGGAGAATTTTCACTCCTTTGGTCCAGTCATGATCTCAAAGAAATGCAGCTCGATGCGTCAAACCTAATGAACAGATTCAGTCAACTTGTGATTATAAACGTTTATCTTTAGTTTTAGCAGTGTGATCATGTGCAGAGATAAATGAAGGTTCTATTTGTACTTTCAAATATCGGATTTATTTTCTATATGTTTAGGTTTTGGACACGCAAAAACAATGCAACCTTCACCTTTTACACAGGACTTCCATCCAAAGGCTATTTTGCAAATTTATTCCCTTGTTAGGCTCTAAAAGAGCCAACACATAAAAAAAACAAAAACAAAATTATATATAAAAGATGAAGCTGTTAGTTTCAGACTCTCTAAAACACATTTTTATACCCAGTAGAATCTGGTCAGTGTTCAGATTTGGTTTTGTTTCACCTGAGAGCTAAAAACTCTAAAATCCGTTTTATTGCTGCTCATAATATGTTTTTAATCTGAGGAGCTCTACACAAAAAAGGGAGATTGTTTAAATGTTCTGTACCTCGCTGGTTTATAGTCTCCATTAACTGCTCCTGTAATGCTGGCCATAAAAAAATATTTCTGCTCATTACCACTTGAACACAGTCGTTAATGCGTTTAACTCAGTTTTATAAAAGGAAAGATGCAGAAAACGATCCAAACTTATACATGTCTTTTTAAAGAATGGTGGCACTTTTATTGGTCGTTGACTTAAGATAAAAATTATCAATAAATAATAATAATAAATAAAATGGCCCCGTCCGTGTAATATATTTTTAAACTTTTAGTTTAAAAATGATAAAAACTGAACATCCTACAGTATTTTTACAGTCTTTATTTTACAGTTAAAATATTTGTTTATCAAATAAAGTCTAATGTTTCAACTAATCAGGGATACATTTAAAGAAATTTGAGAAATTGAGCATAAAATTCCACCGGGRGGACCATAAAACATTGAGCTACTCTTTTTGTAACAGTGACTCAGGATACAGGCATCATCCCTGCATGGAAGGAGATTTTACCTTTTCCCAGCCACTACTACCTGCTGGATTCGAGCGGTGAGACAAATGGAAAAATGTACCTTAGACTTATTATTTTTTATTTTATTGGATGTCAAAGACCAACWCTGGACCACCCTGATCTCTGCACTTTCTGTCCTTAAACAAGTACATTAACTTATACTTTTTATTGTAGCCTTCTGCTTGCTTCACTTTCATGGCATCCATGCTAGCCTCACACAATGTTTTACTTCACTTCTGAGAGGGTGGCTGATAATGTATGTTAGAACCCATGCAGTCTCTCTTCAAAAAGACAATTAAAGTTTTAGACAGACAATCTTATGTTCACTGGTGTAAAAAAAATCAATGACTTAAGTCTTGTTTTTAGGGTCTTAAATGGACCTCCTCCTCCGTCTTTAAACTTTTTTTTATTTTATTAATATTTATGAAAATGTAAATGATGCCATGAGTGGAGATTAGTTGGCCTTAGGAAACACAAACATGACTTTAACTCAAATTTGATGTGGTAGTAGCTGAGAGTCATGTACAACGTTAGCGTGAGATCATACATTATGTCATTTAGAATAAAAAAAATAGTTAAGAGGACTTCATAGGGAAATTTACCTGAATCAAAGGTGTTGAATTACATTAGTGTCATCTTTTAGGCAGATGAGGGAAATAAATTTCCAAGCTTGTGATTTACAAGAACAGTAGTTTAAAACATAAAAAAACCCAACAACACAAAATAAACCTAATCCTCCTGTTAGACTTTATATTTTATTAAAGTTATTAGATTCTGATCAAAGCTGGCGTCAGCCCACTTCAAAACAGTGAGCAAAGAGAAGCGGGAACACGAACAAGGAGAATAACCAGAGTGGTTTTCTCAGCCTCACATAATGCACTCCTGTGAAACACGCTCTCTCATTTCAGCAGGAAGCATAATATTCAAAATGGGCTGTAAAAAGCCATTAATGTAAACACGGYGCCGCTTTTCATTCAGCCGTGAGGGTCAGGAGTTCCTATAAAGAGGAACATGTGCAGGTCAGAAGAAACTCACTGTCTCAGACGGTCTCYGAGGTCACCCATTTGATTGAATTCATTACACGAGTGATTCACCGTCAAGCATTTAATACGAGCCGTGACATTAAGACTGACAGTAAAAAGATATGGATATACATCTCCTCCGAGGCACAGGAGATGGAAGATGAAATGACAGCAAAAACAAAAGAGAGTATCTGTGCTTTTCTCTCCTGGAGAAGGTAGGCAGAAGCTGTTTTTTTATTTATTATTTTTTGGTTCCCCACTGCTGCTGCTGAGAAACTGTAGGAGTTTATCCGTCAACGTGTTATGCTGCATCGATTGCATTTTTTAAAGGAAAAATAAAACTGAAAATGTTTGTACACACAAAGACTGATCACCGCTTGAAGCCCCGTAATCGCGTGCAGCTCCTGACAGGGCGCGTTTCATCACGCAGGGACAATCATCTCTAAAAACGCAGCTGCGGGATTACAGCAGAACAAACAACGCAGGATTGGGCGCTTTTACGCTGGCTGACAGACACAGAGACAGACTGATAGGAAAGGGGAGGAAGAAACTGCGAACGGGAGACAGAGACCAGACTCTTGAGCAGATTTTACTCCGAATGCATTTATAAAACAGAACTACAGCTGATATGTCAACTATCCCAAATCACAATTTAAAATCAGGCAGGTGGAAGGCAAACCCACGCAGCGTGACTGTGCTGCTACGAGTGCCAGCTAGCAATCGTTCCGGCTATTGTTCTTTTATGACCAGACTGGATAAGAGCCATAATGTTTGAGGACCACAGGTGAAATTGGACAGTTGCCGTGGAAATGATACAGTCGCACATGCCATGTTTGTTTGTGTTGTCTCCAGACGGGTTTTCTACCTCTCCACTTGCCTGCCTGCTCTGACTAATGCTAATGAAAACGAATATCTGTGCTCAATATATCAGTCGGCAGACCATTAGGAGAYGACACGCGTTAAATAGGAGCGGCTAAATAAAAGGCTGGGAGCAAATTAACTGAAAGGTAAATTCAAAAGCAGAGTACATTTACTGGAGGTTGATGGACAGGTTCACAACTCAGCCAGAAGGTATGGTACATTAMAGCAAGTTCTAACAAATCATTAAATTGTCAGGAACAGTAAGAAAATATGTTTAAATCTCATCGAACTTAAAGAGTAACTTACCCCAAAAT